TCGACGTCAAAGTGATCCTTCATAAACAAAAGAAGAAAACAGTGACAGTAAAAAAGGGGAAATTAAACCACAAAAATACTTTTAATTCTGTAAGTCTCGCATATTATTATACTTTTTATATTCTGTGCTAATATGTGCTAATATATCGTTATTCCAGTCATGGTGATCAATACATAAACGTATTCAATAAACGTGAAGTGTAAATTTCGTTATTACCTAATTTCATAGCTCCGAACTACGAACGAAACGCCGCTGTTACACTAAATAGGTCACTGAATTAAATAAACAAAAAACACATTACACAATAGATTCGGCTCATTGATCAGCATGTAACGTTCGTTTAGAATGAAGAACCGCTTTCTTGTCGATCCGTGGCATCGTGCGATGCGCTGTCTGCTGCGATTGCTCATGTAACATGTAATTACATTCAATTGCGTGCCCGAAATAACATAATACTGTGCTATAACAGTCAACTTCATCACATGCATAACAAGTTAAAACTACAGGTACCTTCGGACTTTATTCCTTTTGAAGGAGCATTATTGAAGATGCTCTGCTATAATCTATAATGTAATCTATAATAAGTGAAAATTTATCACCGAGCGGTAATCTTTGTTTGGTCCAAATGTCGATAAAGATTTGTCAAAAATCTTAATGTTCGTAGATTATATAAAGACAAAATCTTTCTTTAGCGCTATTCAGGATTTAGTTGTTGCAGGCACACGCCACTACGCTGATTTGTTGACATTCCGGAAAATACAACAAAATCACGTTTTTACACACAAAAAAATACAATAAAATTGTGATTTTCGAAATACAGAATTACGGACGGATTATACGATTTTCATAACAAAATATTGATTTCATTCGTTTTTTCTTTTGCTAAGGCAGGATTTTTTTATATCCTTAGACGTAAATAAGCAAACAATAGACCATACAAACGGGACTTAATTATTCAGCTTAATTAAATAAAACAAATGATGTAGTACCTATTTTCTTCAGTTCGTTCCGCTAGCTTAATAAAAACTACTTTTAACTTAATCGTCCGTGACCACGAAAACTGTAAAGTCTTCGAAACGTCGCAAATTAATATAATGCTAATAAAAAAGCGACGCTAAACCGTAAATATAGTTTTAATTATAGATCATTTACTAAATTTAGCATTTCGTTCATATTACGTGAACAAAGACTGTGTTACATTGCGAGCTCGCCGCCGTCTCTTGTGATCCCTCAATCCTATTAAACATAATAATAGGTATTACAAGCAATTAAAAAATCAAAATTTAAAAAAAAAACACGTAGGAAAATAATTCAACTGTCATTGTTCCGATAGTTGTACGTTTTGTTTCGAAAATCGACCAACACCTTTGCTATTCAACTGGGTTTAATAAAAAACTATTGTTCCTGTAAAATTCACGTAGCCCGAGGAAGTCCCTCACTCTGAAGACCTAAAAATTGGTGGCTTGAGTAAACATCCCAAGCAGCGTCAATTGTATAAAGTTTTTTATTATTAATTACAAATTGTTTAATCAAATAAACTATCGGATTGATATCTTAATTCGTATTTTAAAACTCGAAAATTGTATGGGCTAAAAAAACACTTTCAATTATTGCATTGTCATTGGTGCTTCACAAATGTGCTAAAGGGGAATGCCCATTTCAGGCCCAAAGCGGACAATAGATTAGAGAAAAAATACTTAGTGCATTAATTTTGTCATAAATTAATATGCATTTACTTTCTTCCAAATAAGCCCACTACAGTTTACAATAAGTAGTTTAAAAAAGTAACTCTGTTGAAAAAACAAGATTTTTATTTTTGCGGGAAAAATATTGCCAGTATCAAAACCTTTTACGTATTAAGTAAACATTTGAAGTATATAAAAAAACATATAAATAAATCATTTTAAGTATTATCATTAATCAATCGATTTTAATCGATTTTAAGCACATAAAATAACATCAAAGACATACCCATTGGACTTTAACTTGTTACTATACTTGAGACCTTAGAACTTATATCTCAAGGTGGGTGGCGCATTAACGTTGTAGATGTTTGTGGGCTCCAGTAACCACTTAACACCAGGGTGGCTGTGAGATCGTCCACCCATCTAAGCAATAAAAAAAAACTTAACTTGTATTGTTATTTAAATATGTACAACAAAAACGAAAACATAAAAAAAAAAAATGTGTTCTCGTAAAAAAAAGATTAAGAAATAAATCAATTATCGGTTATTAAAAAAAATGAATTTCATGTAATTATTTTTCTTTATACTGACAGCACTGATTTTAATCTGACTGACACTTCGCTTGCTGCTTGTGGTTGCGTTCAAAATGGATGTGTTTTGATTTTTCTTCGATTTATTTTGCTTTTATCAATAACGTTTCATACTACGACTGAAAAACATTGTGTGAATTGTGGTTTTAACCTGACCGAGATTTAAAACCGTGTATATGCTCTTCTGTGCTATTTTTAGATGATTTACTAATTGTGTATGAAGATGAAGAAAATATAGATATTTAAAGAAATATGTGTGTTTTTTATACCTTAATAACTACAATTGGATAAAAATACATTAGGAACATCTTAAACATTAAAAAAAAAGTTCTTGAAGTATTTGTATAGAAAATTAACCTCAAAACGAGTTTTTATTTTTATTATATTTTTTATAATAGTGGCGTCAATTTCAATATATTTTTTAGATATCTAATACATTTAAGAATTTGAATCAGTCCATTTTTATAGTAATATTTGATATCCACCTTGGGCCTAGCACACTATGGAGAGTGGGCATTCCCCTTTAAGTTTAAGCAGGCAGTCAAGCCTCTCTGTTAATATGTTATAAGGAGTTGTTCCTTTTAGAACACCTAAGGGCGTAGACACATGTCTACGGTGCGACGCCTGCTACCGCGTAACGGCGCGGCATCGTACCGCGGCACAGTGCCGTGTACGGTGCACCGCGCTGACACAGGCCGCACTGCTCCTGCTGCACAAAATATTCGTAAAATTTGTCAATACCACATATTTTCAGCGTTTCATATTTCCTCTTAAAATAACCTCCCTCATGGTTCATTATAGAAAGGTATGGATTCACCCAATATTTTCTTTGATTCTGTTTTTCATGATTCGTCGTATTAGCAACAGGAACAGAATAATACGTTTTCGCGATGCATGTTAAGACAGAAACTGTATTGGAAACTATGGTTACTGCAATGTGTCGGTGCGGTGCACCGTGCCCCAGCACGACGCCGCGCCTTTACACGGTAGCCGGCGCCGCACCTTTACACGGTAGCCGGCGCCGCACCATAGACATGTGTCCATGCCCTGACACTGTGTAACTGGAAAAAAGTACTGCCAACATTAATATACTATGTTTTTGAAGACCATTATAAGTGACTGCACTCTATTATTCACGAACTACTCGAAGCATTCCTATGAAAATGTACCTTATTGAAACAAAAAAGGAAGTTGTACTTCACGGAAGCATGCTGGTTTTTGTTGAAAACTTTGTTTTTTGGTAGGAATTTGTTATTATAAAAGTTTCCTTGAACAGCGAACAAATAGGAAAAGCGCAAAAAAGCGAAAGCTGTTGAGAAAGAAGCCATAATTTTGTTCACTAAAAAAAGAACTTCCATTTAATACCAGCTTCACTGTTAAACTAAATATTTTTATTTCATTGATTCTAAAATCAATCAGTACAAAAGTATGATGGTTGCCGCAAAGTATACTACATACGGAATTGGGTCCATCTAAGATGATAAGACTGCATTCGTTAAATTTTTTATATATATTTGTACACACAGCTGTTAGAAAAGACACGTCAATAAGGATACAGAGTACAAGGGCACTACTTATTTCATGCTGAAATCTCTTCCAGTAGGCCCGCAAAAGGAAAGAAGAATTAGGAACACAAACTATTATTATTAACAAATTATTATTCTTTTGCATGCAAAAAAATGCCCCTGACTTGTTTAATTGCTTAGATGATGTTAAGTAGTTACCGGAGCCCATAGACATCTACAACGTAAGTGCCACCCCTCAGCTTGAGACATGAGTTCTAAGGTCTCCGTTTATACAGTAGGTATAACGGCAGCCCCACCCTTCAAACCGAAACAAATTACTGCTTCACCGCAGAAATAGGCGGGGTGGTGGTGGTACCTACCCGGGTGGTCTCACAAGACCTCCTACTACCAGTAAGGACTACTCTTAAGCTCTTGAAAATATGAGAAAGTCACAGCAATACATTAATTACACTTATAAAATTGACGTTGAAAATATATTATATACTTTTTTACTATTTGGCTAATATAAAGGAGTGAACCTGATAATATTTCATATTAAAGGATCATATAAAAAAAATTCAATTCTATTGATTCCACTGTACAAGGCTTAAATTATCAGACATTTATTAACATTAAATTATTATCTTAGGTTTTTTGTTTTGCAGCGTCATCTACATGATTCTTATGATAACTAAATGCCACACTTAGAGCACACAAAACTGTCATCTACGGAGGAAATTAAAACATCACTCTATTTTTGTTTTTCAGATTATTTCTCAACTACACCAATAGATGTCGCACAACGCAGCAATCAGCTGTTACACCAAGAAATGTTTGCATTTACTGTTGCCAACTTCATATCGGTAAAAGCCAATAGTACCAAAGTTATTTTGTCGTAAAATGTTGCCAAGGCTTAGATTCTCCTAATAATAATTGAAAATTATTTATGAACATGGTAGGTTTTTTGTTTTGCAGAGTCATCCAAGAGTAATTCAAGTAAACAAATCAAATCTATAGGTGATAATAAAGAAGCGGTATTTTGTATACTCAGGTAAATGCTTAAGATATATTATCCAAAAAGTTTTCACTTTCGATAACATACTCAATAGTAACAAATTAATTTTCATTCCAGCCGTTTTACTCAAACCAAAACATACAACTATGAGTTTTGGCAATTTTTCTTAATTTGTCCTAAGGAAGGTGTCGGGTGGCAAATAGCAACATTGCTTTCGTGTTCGATTTGGTGAGTGAGTGTATTGTGTTGTGTCGGTATTATTAGGCCATACAATCAAAATTTTAATCAACTGTGGTAATTTTTACGGGATCTTTAATTATTGTCACACGTGTTAAAATATTTTGTTACTGTCAGAAATTACCCGTATTACATATATTTAGTCTGTGTGCAATGTGTGTATTCAGCTGACACCTTTCACAAAGGATAAACGGAGAATCTTGGTACACCGTAACATTTCAACATTTGCGAGCTAAGGTGAGTAACTTAAAAATTAGTAATCTAATCCTGTTAAATCTCATAATTTACAGAATCATTGTATTTCGTATAAATAAATACAATTGTGGTTTATTGAAAAAATTTTGAACTTCTTTCTTTCCATGCAATTTTTGTATTTTCTCAGAATAATCAACGATTTTTTTCTTGTTTAAACTGAACTCTTTACCATAGATATGATAAACCAATGATGTTCATGCATAATTATAATCAGCTGTTTAAATATAGGCGCAATTCAAATTACAAATAGATTTGGTGCAGAGAGATTGTTTCGGTATTGAAATTATGATTTTATGTTTCATTGCAATCGTGCAAGGTCAATTATTACTCAAATATGTAATTTCTTCATGCGTAATTTCTCACTGGAATAAGTACAAATCAGAAAACTGATTTACATTTTGTGGAAACAGAATTCAGAAGTGAATTAATTCTCCACCAAAATATTCCTAGTCATTTCAGTAGCTGCTTTTTTTATTTATTGCTTAGATAGGTGGACGAGCTCACAGCCCACCTGGTGTTAAGTGGTTACTGGAGCCCATAGACATCTACAATGCAAATGCGCCACCCACCTATTATACCGCCACCCCCGCCTATTATAATATAACTGATATTGATTAAATGATACTATTTATATTACAGAAGTGTACCCTACCGTTAATTTCTATCTTGATTTGACACTCCCAGATCTATCATTTTAACCAGTTTTAAAGAAAGTCTAGTCAAACTACAACATTAATTAATGTATTGTGCCAAAAATGTGGATTAGAAAAGTAGGTATATTTTTCACTCCCCTTAGTGGGAATCAATTAATAAATAGGTGATATATTCAGCTTAAGTGATTGACCCCCTCCCTAGATCACACACTTTGCAGTTTAAAATTGCCTTAATTTTTTTCTTTTGAATAGAATTAAAGTGGTTGGTAGGTAATTCATATACAAAGACTAAGCCATCCACATAATAATATCTTTGTTTGAGAGATATAATTGTTCTAATTAGTGGACAATAACAGATAACATGTATTCTTTATCTGAATATTGGTGTTCAATTATTTTTAGGATAGAAAAAAATATTAGAAGGATATTATATCTTGGAATTTTAAATTAAACTTTGTAGTTTAAATAAATAAATAAAGTAATAAATAGGAGATTAAACCGTAAACATCATAATAAACTTTCTTGAGTTTTGAATTTTTTATTTATTTATTGCTTAGATGATTGTCGAACTCACGGCCTACCTGGTTAAGTGATTACCAGAGCCCATAGACATCAACAACCCAAAGGTCACTACCAACAAGTTTTATAGTACGATGGCTGCCCCACCATTCAAATCGAAATGCATTACTGAGTCGCAGGAGAAGTAGGCAGGATGTTGGTACCTATCTGTGCGAGCCCAGAAGACAACCTACCACTAGTAAAACGTTGATATAAAACTTTGTGATTTACTGGTGGTAGGACCTCTTGTGAGTCCGCGCGGGTGGGTACCACCACCCTGCCTATTTCTGCAGTGAAGCAATAATGCGTTTCGGTTTGAAGGGTGGGGCAGCCGTTGTAACTATACTTGAGACCTTGGAACTTATATCTCAAGGTGGGTGGCGCATTTACGTTGTGGATGTCTATGGGCTCTAGTAACCACTTAACACGTGTAAAACATTTATTCATTCAAAATATATAATATATTATCAGATGACAATTTATGCTATCATATTCTTTTAAATGCTATCATATTCGGTAGGCAGCGGCTTGGCTCTGCCCCTGGCATTGCTGAAGTCCATGGGCAACGGTAACCACTCACCATCAGGTGGGCCGTATGCTCGTCTGCCTACAAGGGCAATAAAAATTAATAATAATAATAATAAGTTAATAAACAATAAAATTTTGGCATTGACAAAACTTTAAATTATGTTGCTGATTTTCAATAAACATTTAGACTTAATTAATAAAATATGCTATGCTAACTATCAGCTTTAGAACATTTAAAAAAAAAGTTAAACAACTGCAATGTCGTAAACGATTTTTTTTATTATTTTCATACTTAATTGTTTTGTATAATGTAGATAACAGCAAAACGTTTGTATCATATCTTTTCGAAGCATACTAGGTCAGTTTGTGTTTCCGTATAGCCACGGCACAGAATGTCTTTTAACTGGCTGCCAATTATTTAGAACAGCATTATAATATTTTGTGTTGCGATTAATCAAATTCTTTAAACGAATGAAATGTTTAACGTGATGCCAATAGACGACAGTTCTTTAAGCTCGCACCAAACACCCCCGTCTACTATAACGTTTCATACAAAATTCTATTGAACTCTGGCTACGGGTTCTCATGTGGGCAGTGCCTGATAAATTGCGTGTGCGTCCATGATCCAGTTTCATATACTGGAAAAAATCACATTCCCTAATTTAATTATCATCTGTTTATGAATGGATCCTGCTTTGAGGAGTACTGACTGATATTTTACACGCACAAGGTACGTAATCTTGACCTAGATGATTGAATTTAATTCACCTCTTGTTAGTACTGCGTGTGGAACAACAGATTTGTCGTTGTTAGTTTTATACTGTTTGGTTGGTTTTACGATGACGTCTAGATGTAATTTAAGTTTTTTTAAAGTCTTGTATTATTAAATTACATGTTCTAGGGATCGTATAAAAATACGAAAAGTCTTCCTTACTATAAATCAGATGGTCCGAGTATGCGACCTTACCTAGACGAATTCCCCTGTTTTAATGCTGATAGTGGAACGTCCTTGTTGCCTCAAGAGTCTCATTTTTGCCGCAAAGCCATCGTGTCTTCCGTTGCTTTTTGCGGGCGTGGATGAAACGTCTCACCATCAGATTGGTGTTAGCGGTCACCACCGTCATCCATCTAGAGACAGAAAATAGAATAGAAGGAGAGGAGAATAGAAAGACATAGAAGTTTCAGTAAAATTTAATTCGGCTACGACTACCCTTCAGACCGGAACGTATAAATGTTTTTGAGCGCTTCAAAACATAACATCAATATGCCGCAAACACATCTAAGCATTTACGGTAAAAAGAAAAGTGTGCCCACTATAAGATAACATAATAACACAAAGCTAAGTAGGTTAGTATACCGTTATAATTAATTATCTATGTATCCAAGATATGAACCACTTAATTTCATATGAATTTAACAACATAAAAAATGCTGCTTCAAAATCTAGGTACTATTTTTCTTTATTTAAATTATATTAAAAAAAATAGTTTACATTCCATGGTAGGGGCCCACAAACTGATGGAGTTATACCATGACGCAACAACTTTGCGCAAACAACGACCGTCCAGCTTCGCAGTTCGTTCGTTCTTTGCTTTTTTACAATACTAGTCGTGCCATACGATTTTACTCGCGATTAGTTTGTCATTCAGAAATAATGAAACACTACATTTTCCTAGGATAAAAGCAGCTTCACTATCTGGTCCATATTTTTTTATTCCAACAGCAACGGTTATCATGCCAACTTTCTCTATGCATATGCAATGGTAAATAAAAAATCAATTCTGGATAATATTTACTTCAATTCATTCTAAGTAAGCGTATACATCGCAAAAGAAGTATTTAAACCAAATTTAAAGTCATCGGACGGTTAGTTTCAATGTTCTGGATAAATAAATGCTATTTCGCTTTAAATATGAATATTAAACTTTCACAAAACTTGATAAAACGCATTACAATAACTCAACTAGGTATATGAATTTGAACATGATTGGAATATTTTATATGATGCACCTAAATCATATTATGTCACTTTATCAGACGAGAAAAGGTAAAAAATCAGTTCAACTACATACTGGGATCGTTATGACATTTGAAACAAGGTCTTGTGATGAATACGTGCATTCACCGTAAGTACATGAAAGTTAGATCTAGCAAGGCCGTTCTAGCCGTGAACTGCATAGCTACTCAACAAAGATAGCGTTTGTCAAACAGGACGTGATCAGAAATCATAAACGCATGAAACTCGTTTAAATTCCTACTTAAAAGTTAAAACGACCTTACTTACAATGCAAAGGATCGCCAGAAGACTTTTTCTTTTAATGTTAATACAGAAATACAAAGCTCTTTAACCGGATCGTATCAAAACCGCAATTACTTCTTGGATTCATTAATTACAAATATTAAAACTAGGTATTTCTACGATTGCGATAATCATTGGATATACTTTTTTCCATAGAATTACTAATTTCTAGAGTTCCAGTGCTTAAAAAATAAAAACAGAACCCTTGTGAAATCACTTTGTTGTCTTTCTGTCGATCTATTATATGACAGTTAATACCGTTTTGCTCAGGAGCAACTGGAAGTATCAAGTTGAAATTACTGTCAAATAATCAAGTCGAAGGTGGAAAGTAGCGATAAAAATCTTATATTCTCAACCCAATCAAAAGATAAAACTATATTTTACCCCTCATATAAACCTCTATAGATTGCCCATTCACTTGATCATGAACTTTGCCAAGAATTAAGATATTATAGCATAGGTAAAATGAAAATTCTGAAAATTATAAATCTGTATCTACGACACAAAAACGCATTTGTTGTAATTTACAATCTTACATTTCCAGGTAAAGCACCAACCGTTATAATAAATACATTGAAAATGTATAAGAGATAAATTTATTCGACTGTAAAGCTAAGTTTGTATTTCAAACAATATTGAGAATTACGGATTTTGACTAAAAAAACATATCTAAATAAAACATTTTAATTTCTCCGGTTCTATAAATATATTAGTGTTTGGTTCTTACGCCTACATTTCTCTGTAAATTGTTTTAGCTTCTGTTTATCAAATTGGACAAGTAAACAGAACTTAGTCAATACAGCTAAATCTTGGAATAATATACCTAGCCTTGCCATAAATACTGAGACAAAGGAAAAATAATCTATTGCAAAATAATATTTATTACTTTTACAGTGTGTTAGTTTAATACATAAATATTATAAAACAATTTAAAGTATAAAAAG